AGTCTCTTCCCATAGGTACAAGTATAGAGCAATCCAGACAATAACTGGACTCTGACTCAGAGGTGAAATTTCAATGATACAGCGTTTGTGGGAATCACAGTGAAGCAGCCAGTGTAGCTTGTACCTGTAGTTTCTTCCTCCTCACTATAGGACCCTGTCTGCTTCTTCCCTTCATCTGAAATATCTTCCACTGACATAGTTGCCATAGAAAAATGTAGGGCAAATACTTTGGACTGTGGTACTTCTGTAGTACTGGACAAGTCTCACTCATTGTGGGCTTCTGTTAGAGCTCTTGTTGCTTCAAGATCCTCTCCTTTGCTGACCCTGGGTACCTCATACCTTAGAGGGCCCACCCAGTATCCTCCTTACTAGTGTTTCCTAACATGATACTCTTGGGCCCTTCCTAGACCATGCCTTGCTGACTGCCCATTTGTCTCCTCACGGTATTCATCACACAGTCTGTGATCTTGCATTTGCTTTGAAAAACAGAAAAATGGGTACTCTATCTAAGTCAGAGGGTCTTAAGGAATGCAGGCAAGTTCAAGTCAGTGAAGGAGAGTAGGAAAGAGGGCTACCAGGGAACAAATAGCTGAGAAGTGTCATATGCCTGGAGAATGGAACTGTGCTTGTACCAGACATACACAGATTTTCATGTCATTGTTGTTTAAACAATACACTATACTAACTATTCGCTTATTGTCTATACTGTGGTATGTGGGATAATGTGCACAGGCTTTTTGAAAATATTATGCCATCTTAAATAAGGAACGTGAACATATGAGGGATCCCCATTTCCCATTTTTCTTTTATTTTTGAGATTATAACATAATTACATAATTTCCTCCTTCTATTTCTTCCCTGACCCTCCACCCCAATCTGAAAACTTTTCTGTTGGCAGTGTGTATAACTGTGTGCATGTGTGTATGTTCTTGAGCCAATCTCCTGTGGTTACCGAAGGACAATTACACAAGAAAAGCAGAAATCTAGGTGTGTCCAGTACTGTGTCCTCGTCCTAAAAGACAAGAGGATGGATTGCTGAAGAGATTATAGGATGATGTTCAAGTGGAAAGTCATGGAGGAGGAATGAATGACAGAAAGCAGCAGGAGCTGGGCCAGTTGGGTCCAAGATGCTACTTTGATGCCCCCTTGAAATTAGTTCCTGATGTTTATATTACTTTTTGATGGGGATGTCTTCTGTACATATGCTTCTCTTATTGGCTGAGAAATAAAGCACTGTGGCCAATGAGGCAGGATGATAGGCAGGGCTAGGAGACAAAGAGAATTCTTGGAGGTGTAGAAAGAGGGCAGTCACCATGTAGGATGCCAGAGGAGTAACAAGTCCCTGGACCTTTCCCTGGTAAGATAAGACCACGTGGAAATACTTAGATTAATAGAAATGGGTCAGTAATTAAGACAGAGATAGCCAATAAGAAGCCCTAGTCATTGGCCAACAGTATTATAATTAATATAGCATCTGAGTGTTTATTTGGGGGCTCCAGGGCAGCTGTGGAATTGGGCAGGAAATTCCATAATAACTTTTGTTCCCTGGAAAGACTCCCAGCACCACTTCACCACACACTGCAACTGCCTACTAGACCCAGCATGAGGCCAATATGGTACATAGAGAAGCCAGGAACCTTGCTTCACATCTCATGATTGATAAGTTACTTCACACCAGTGAATAACTCTACACCATTGTGTTAATGTTTCACACCCCAACCACAACCCTGTCTATTCTTCACAATATTTTAAATGCAAACAAAATGATATCTGTTGCAGGTAGAGAAACACCAACATTACTTAAAAATTACCTTGTTCTAATTTTAGCAGTTAATAGAAAACCCAAAGTTCTTTCAGTAGACTTGAATAAATTAAAATGGGACAACACAGGCTTCATATAAACCCAAAGAAGGTAAAAAAACAAGCACAGTTGTTAGGAAATTAAAGAAGTGTCAACAAAGCTTCTTTTGTTGATGATACATTTAAAAGCAAACAAACTAAAGACAAAGACAGAAATTGTCTGCTCCTAGAGGGCAGCAGGTACATTTACTGAAGTAATTATTTATCTATGGCATAGCCTCACAGTATTTAGAATACTGAGTAACTGCAGTACCATTTGTCTTGCTTTCTAGTTTTAAAGTACTCATTTCATGGCTAGCTAGCATCTCACTACCTTGGTGCCATTTGATAAAAATAAACAGTTAAGTTCTGCAAGATGGGCTCAGTTCCATTTTCCTTCACACACACACCCAAAAGAATCTGCTTAGTAGTTCACATGCTATCCTGTACAACAGAGGGGACGTGTTTTAACAGAGCCACAAGATATTTAATGCTTATTTTACTTCACAAATGTGGCTTTCCAATTGAAATGGGATAGAGCATTTGTGAACTGGGTCACAGGGGCAAATGCTACAGAAGCCTTTAAAATTTGACTGTCTCTAACATCTTAAATTAAATGCTAATGAGCATATCCATCCAATCTAGCTTTCTGAATTCTCTGGTTGTCATGTTGACAAGCCATGGCCAGTTTTCAAAATACCTTGACCCCCATATGGGCAGAACAGGAAGGGGATAGAGAGGGGGCAAGCATGCTACAAATAGCAAGTCTCTGAAAACACATTCATTCTGTGTTCTGTGGAATAGAACTAAGCCTTTAAGATCCACACTCTATAATCCACACCACCCCTACCTCAGATAAAACTTGCAAAGTACCAGGGTAATGCCAGACACTCAACCCTCTTATCATTTGAAAATACTTACTTATTTGGTCAACATTAAATAATAGCTTCACACATTTTCATCTGTTCCAAGAAACCAAGCTAACATTTCCAAATAAGAGTCAGGAAGATGAAATATTCCTGTCTTCTTTTAAAGGGGCCCATAAGCAAATCCAATCAGCCCTCCCCATTCATGGTTAAATTCACAATTGATTTATTATAATCTGGGCCTGAGGAGAGAGGCAGATGACTGGCGGTATTAGGGATATCGCCGATGATTTCCTGTTCTTCCTAATTAAAGGTACCATACTCCACACAGGAAAGTGAGCTTCTCATCTCAAGTGCACAGTAGGGAGAAACAGACCTGAGAAAATTCTGATTGTTTTCATTAAATACGGTTAACACAGGCAGCATTTGTCAGTACATGGAATAAAGAAAAGGTATTTCCTTCCACAGTAGGAGTTAAGCAAAGTGAGACGGTGATAAGATACACAGTAAAGTGATGGATTTTTTTAAAAAATGGGAAGGGGAAACACATACACTTTCGCTTGATCCCAGGATGCTACATCTGGCCAGGTGTTTGAGCTTCATGAAAGGGGCATAGAGCAGTCAAGGCTTTATGACTATGTGAGGGAAAGTCAAGGATATTTTAAAAGCTAGTTTTGCAGTGCCAAGTATGACATACTTATTAAAATATTTATGTGAAATTCATACAAAATTTAGAAAGTACATTGCAAAATTTAAGAATATACTGCATTAAAAACACGTGAAACCAATTTATCAATGGAAGAGATGTAAATTGGGAGAAAATACAAACTGCATTGATTTCATAAGCCCATCCTCACTCTGTGTCCAGGGAAGTCCACACCTATTCCTGTTATTAACAAAGACTCAGTGCAGTCATTTTGAAGTTTCTTCAGCAAAGCCAGCCATAGTCCCAGTGGCTCTTTTAGTAGTTGAAATACATATTTAATGCAAAGGAAAGTCACTAATAAGTAAGACTATAAATGCATCTACACATATGCTAATTTCTAATGTTTTTACTTTGTATATAGGATGTAGATACTGGTTCTCATATATTCTCTTTGTATATTCTCAGTCCATATTTCATGCATTAGTTCATCAATTACTTCAACTCCAATATAAGACAGGCTACATCAGTGAAAAAAACTGAAGCCTCAGTCAGAGAAGCTGAGACTGCCTGTTTCCTGGGTTATCGAAGACGGTAGAGGGAAAACTGAGCAGGGCCAAAACTGACTTAATCTATGGATAATTTTGTCAAAATTGATGTTTGAAAACTGGAAATGGCTACTGGGGAAATCCAAGAGCCTTCAATTCCTAATGCAGCTGTCTCTTCTAAGTCAGAATATCGGGATTGCCCTTCAATATTTCACCTAAGGATCTTTCTATCATTGTCACATGTCTGCTGTGACACAGAAATCCAACTTCTATTTGGGTTACAAAATGGTAGCCTCCAACTGAGAGACAAGGCAACTTCTCCCCCTGAGAACAGAAAACATAGGTTGACACTATGAGACTGACAACACAGGCCATAGAGACTTCTGGACAAACACCATGACTGCCAGGAGGGAACTGGAAAAAGTCAGGATAAAAAGACTATCCATGAGTGACTGGTGGCTGAAGCTTTGTTTTGGTATACCCCGTTCACTATAGTAGTTCCTCTACTTTTTCCTTAAGCATAAGTGAACAGAGTAAAGTTAAATAGACCTTAAACTTCCTTCACAAATGGTAGGTAAGAATGGGAGAGTAAGCGGGAATGGATGACACCACTAACACAGATAACATTAATTTAATTCCTTTCTCCAATACACAGCATAGCTTATCCCTGACTGAGAGTTTATTAGGATTTTATTTCTCCTGCTTCTAACAAAATGGCTCCCAGTTGGGCAGCCAAGAGTGTAAGGAAAAGTAAAAGTCTTGGGTAAAACACTAGATGTGCAATTCACCCCACAGGTAACCAAGAGCTGACAATGCAAACAATAGAAGACTTGGTAGAAAAACAGGTGTGACGATCTCGTTAACTTTCATCCTGAATTTTTATATAACTCGTCACTCAGAAAAATCACGAGAGGTCAATTAGTTCCAATTAGTTACATTGTTCTGTATCGAGTAGGTGCTCGATAAACGATGGCTAATTAGCTAAAATAGCATCCTGAGCTCAATCGTTTGATTACTTAGGGCTACTCTCAAGGAGAGGACTTTCAAATTTAAGTCACAGCGAAAGCGCTTTTCAATAAACGCAACACAGGAGGCACGCTCTACCTGATATCCAAAGAAGACCATCAGCCACATATCCAGCGTGACACGAAAGGGATCGGTCAAAGGACTGCACAAAAGTCCATTTGTTCTTCTTGGGGCAGTACCGTTCGACCGTGGGCAGAACCTGGCGCAGTTCATTTCTGCCCCCGACTGCATAGAGGTATTCATCTATGGCGCCCAGCACAAAATGCTCTCGGCAGTTTTTCATGGGTGCTATCTCTGCCCAGGAATTACTGCGAGGGTCATAGCGACAGGCAGTCCTCACTGCACACGTCCGGCCACTGGCATGCTCCACTTCCCCTCCTGCTACAAACAGGAAGTCCCCCATGACTGCCACGCAGTGGTGACTCCTTCCCACGGGCATGGGAGCCAGCTCACTCCAGTTGGCGATGGCAGCTATGAGGGCGTTCTCCTGGTCCACCGGGTTGAAGTACCGAAGTTCCTTGACTTTACAGACCTCACGCTTCTTCCCACCAATGATATAGAGTGTGTCTGACTGGAACCGCGGTTTGGTCCTGCGGGTCTGCCACACGGGCTGTGCATAGATGCTTTGGTGGTATTCCAGGGCCTCATTGACAAGGGCAGTTGCGGTCTCGCTGGCCTGGACCAGGGGGTGGGATAGGGCAACCGTGTGGAGAGTATCCACATCCATGAGGCCAAAGCGGATGTACTGCAGGAGCTCGTCCAAATGCTGGTAATGGCAGTTGTGCTCCAGCCACCTCACAGCTAGCTGAAACAGAAGGAAGTGGCGTAAGAGAAGGGGATACCAAGCGAGGAAGAGTGGACGACAGCAACCGCACATGGCAAGTCACTGCTGTTCTTTCGGACAGCAATCAAAGCGTCTCCCACACAGCATAACACTGGAATAGGTTGGTGCCTAGGTGAGGATTTTTTTTTTCTCTACCAGCAAAGACACGGAATTCAAGGCAGTGCTGGTGGAGTGAGAGAGAGTATGTGTGTTAAGCAGCACACTCAGGGCTTATGACATCTTTTAGGATGAACAATAATTACTTTTCAAAGAACAAAAATATTGTGAAACAGCATGTCCTCTTCATCTGCACTGAAGCCCCGTCACCCAACCACCAGGAAAAACACATGGTGGGAAGAGTGATTTAGGAAAAAAAAGGCCTCCCTCCACCACTTGGTAGGTATATCAATCAGGAGGAGGCAAGACCAGATAAAGCAGCAATGCAACTTACATCGTTTTTGCCCCTGACTCTTAAATTTCACCATGAAGACTGTTGTCATTTGCAATGTAAGATTCTGGTGGTTGGTTAAGAGCCATTTCCACAAAGAGGAGATAGAAGAATTAATCTTTGTATTATGGGGACAATAGCAGAAAGCATTGCTAACTTCCTAACTAATGTGACTTGATATTTGAGTGTGTTAAACCATCCCATACACTAACATTAAACAGTATACTTAGTATATCCAGTTGACATAAATGACATTAGTAAATCCTAGCAGTATCCATATGAAACCAAGTTTCCTAGATAGTACTAAAGTGGCAGGGGAAAGGTGTTATGGGATTTCCTGGCCAGTTCTGCAGCCTCTTTTCCCCAAATGAACACTCAGAGACTTATATTATGAAACTATTGGCTGGTGGCTTGGGTTTCTTATTGGCTAGCTCTGTATTAATTATTAACCCATATGTATATATACATACACAGTCTTATCTTATGGGAGGCCTGATTCGTGTCCTATCTTCCCAGGCTTACATGATGACTTCTCTCTGCCTATACCTCCCAGAATCCTCTTCATCTGGTAGCCCCACCTTCATGCCTGGCCACTAGCCACACAGTGTTTTATTCATCAACCAATAAGACAAACATATACAGAATAGCATCTCCCATCAGAAAGGAATGATTTTGAATACTTTATTCAACTGCTTATTTGCTTTCTGTCTCATGGAACTGCAGTTGGAGTCTTTCCTCTTAGATGATGCTCAATCTGTGGAAAGACAAAGGAGGAGGTGTGCCACCCTTAGACCATTACTCCCTGGTGACATGAGCTGGGTTGGGCCTGGTATAAAGAATCCTCACAAAGTTTCTAAGGCACTGAATGATTCCAGACTGCTAGGGTTTCTCCATTCATTTGACAAACGGTTCCAAAAGGCAAAGTGCATTGTCCTCTCACCTGGAAAAAGTAAGTAGAGGGGGTGAAGCTACTTCTGTTATGCAGTGAGTACCTCTCTTAATTAACTACTGTGTAGCTAATGAAACAAACAAGCAAAAAGAAGCATGGGGTACCAATGAGGCAGAGACCACCAAGGGAAGAGAAGTAACATTTTATAGACTTTGTTAAAAATAGAAGAGTGCATTTTTATTTAAATAAGACATTAACCTGATGAAGGAAAGGCATCTTTGTATGGTAACGTTGTCAGTAATGGAAGCTGCAAGAGAAACACATCCCCTGTCTTTCACCCAGTCTGTGCCAGTCTGAAGAGCATTCTCACATGTGGCATCCTATTTCCTCTCTGTCTCAATTTTAGAGGGTTTTGAGAGATGGGGCCTCCAATTATCCCCATATGGAGGTAACTGAGTAACTCAATAAATGGCTTTTCAAAGGCTTTCAAAAGTTCTCATTAATAAAGTTACCCTACTACAAGTTGTTTATCAGGCACCAATTCTGCTACTGCTCCTAATATTAGTAGCTGCAGTAGATAGGGTTTTGGGGTGCAACAGTTTCTCAGCATTCATGCAGCTCTGCATGCCCCATGTAGAAACTACAGGAGACAGCACTGAGTAAACACAAGATAAATGCTCATGTCTCCAAAAGCCTCATTTTTAGCATGGCATGGCCTACTTAATTAGTTCTTCCTCTCTCTCCATAAATCAGTTGTTCCTAAGCCACAACCAGTCTCCCCTATCACCTCCAAACACACATTGTCTTTCTCTTCCTAGGACATTATGTCACTGTTGGGGTGAGACCTACACAAGCCTCAGCTCTGTTTGGCTTCTAGGAACTCTCAATTCAAAATGGCAAAGAACCAGTAGTCACTGGCTTTCCCTTCTCCTGCCATGGTACATAACTTTTGAAGCTTTCAATTTATCTCCCCAACACTATAAATTAATACTATACACTAGTCTGTGTACCTGTGTTAGTTTGGTTTTGAGATGATTTTTATTTCTGGATATCATTTTTATACTTTTATGATTCATTGACATTTTCAGAACTTGCAAGCATGCTATACATGAGTTTATCTAGATCAACAGGAAATGCAATATACAATAACTGCACTGATGCCAACTTCAGACCTCACTTGCATATCAGTTACCCCGTGTTCTGGTTCAGATGTAGATTCTGTCTTACTAGAGTGGTGGAGTCAGGCATCTATCTTTCTAACAAACCCAAGATGCTACACAAGCCAACAAAGTGTTCAGATATATTGTTTTTGATTTGATAAAGCTTGCCTGGGGATCAGAATGAAAAGATAGCCACACTAGTTAGCCATAGACATCAGGCAGTGGTGGCACACACCTTTAATCCCAGAACTCAGGAGACAGATACAGATGGATCTCTGTGAGCCCAAAACCACCCTGGGCTACACTGAGAGTGAGTCAGTCTAAATGAGAAGCAGAGCTCACACCTTTAATACCAGCACTCGAGAAGTATATAAGGAAGAAGCAAAGGGTCTCATTGGAGGTTCAGTTTCCAGCCACAGGGAAGACAGGATCTCCATTTCAGCCTTGGTAGAGGTAAGAGCTATTGGCTGGTTGCTTTGCTTTTCAGATCTTCTGCTTGAACCCCAATATCTCTCTGGGTTTTTATTATTCATTCTTTCCTAGCTATGCTGCATATTTTACAGATTCTATGTAGAAAAGGTTATCCTGGAAACGGGCACTTTCAAGATGGCATGACATTAAGGAAGCATACCTCATGGTGGGCTAGAACCCTACTATTTCTTCTAGCCTGCCAACATCCTATAACTTCTAGTATTTAAGTGAGAAGAAAATATAGTGTATAACCATAATCGTATCTCTCATCTTTTTGTTGAGAAAAACAGCATATACAAAAGATTGCAATTTACTTTAGGAACTCACTATCAATAATGCTTAGGAAAAATGACCAATGGGCAAGATTTTGCCCAAACCTTATGACATCATACATCATCATATTCAGGAATAACAGGGGATTCTCCTGTATGCATTCTACCTACCTCAGTTCAAACAACTCCATTAGGAACTGTCCCTTCCTAAACCACGGGAGCTTAATTCAACCTCAGCCAATATGTCTCAGCCTTGGATCTTTGATAAGGACATTGCCTGGTCCACGGTGCTATGAATATTTGCTAGATGGACAGAATTTTATTTACAGATGTTCTTAGTCTGTTTCTTCTAGTTTTCTTAGTCATCATCAGTCCTTTATTCCTTTATATTTATCTATCTACCACAGGCTCCCATTGATATATTATTATTTCTTTGTTGTTTTTTGGTTTTTTTTTTTTTTGGTTTTTACGAGACAGGGTTTCTCTGTATTGTTTCGGAGGCTATCGGTACAGCCCGGCCTCGAACTCACAGAGATCCGCCTGCCTCTGCCTCCCGAATGCTGGGATTAAAGGCATGTGCCACCACCGCCCGGCGATATATTATTATTTCATGTTTATAGCTTTCCTATAGGTGTTTATACTCTCTCCAAATCCCACATTACAGCACATTTTGGATGTATATAGCCTTTGTCTAGCCCCTTCCATGCTTGATGCTGAACACTGATATTTAAGGTTCTTGACAGAGCAAAGAAAACTATAGTCTTTTAAACTTTCAAATTAATAATGAAACTTTCATACAAGAATAAACTTTTGGTTTAAACGTCTTAATTTTACAGGTATAAACTGAATCCAGACAGGTATAAGCTAAAGCCATCTAAATTCATAGCACAAACGTTGCAACTAGAAACCCACTGTTCAAATTATACAATGTGTCTCCCTATTATACCAACTTGCCATTACTTTCTCATCAATAACCTTAAAATAGAACCCAAACAAACATACATATGGTATGTAATTTGAATAACTGCAAATGCTCCAGACAAGAAAATAAAGTATGCTTGTAAAATAAGTAGACTTTGCTCCAGACTAAGCTAGCAATATTTTTTAGCAAATCTCATGAGTCCCTTTCAAAAATAAACAGCATAAACTTAAAGACAACAAATTAAGATTTTGTGGGCAAACACTCAGGGATAGGACATGCTTTGTGTCTTTACTGATCCATGTTCTAACAGATATACCAAGTTATTCCTTATAAACTCAACTGGGATCAAAGATATATGGAAATGGAATCCTTCCCTTTGTTTTCCTCAGCATCTCTGAGATGAGCGTGCTAGTTTAGGGAGGAGAATATAGGACATGTCCACACACAATGCTGAATTCAATAACATGTAATCCTAAATTCTACATATATTGTTTTAAATAAACACATATGGTTTGCTCACATACACTTCAGAAGTATATCACATGAACAAATGTTGCATTCCTAACATCAAGTCCTTGAGTTATGTCTTTATAGATCCTGTTGGACACACTCAGAAGCTGCTGTGTTGAAATCTAAAATTCTTGGTCCTTTTTATGAAAAAGCAGATGTTTTGAAGCCCAACTCTACTTGTATATGTAGAATGTGTATGCACTATACAATTTTATACCAAAGCAATAAAAAGGTACAAATTCTTAGCCTCAGAAGTCTAGAAAATGTATTAATTATAAAGTTATCCTTAGCTCCAAAAGATACATCAGTG